ATACAACTGCGTATTAAAAGTTTCAGTTTCCCCTTCTCTCTCTTGCATACCTAAATTTTAAGGCAACTTTTTCCCTTTTTAGAAAACAACCCTGAAGAGAGTCTCCTCAGTTACCAAACTTCTAAGTGGATAAAACCAATGAGGACTACAGTGTTCTAAAGATCTCTCAGCCGAGTTGAAAATGTGCTGTAAATCCAACACCTAGGTCCTCCCCCCCCACCTCCCGCCGTTGTCCTGTTTGGTGCTAGATCATTTACAGCACACACTGATCTTTGCAAGGCCGCTTTTGGTTTGCCGTACCTCACTCCCAGAAACTTGGGCTGCTCTCCGGGTGCTGAGGTCTCCGTCTCCATCTTCAAGCTATCAATGTGGGCAATGGAGATCACAGTAGCCGCAACGTACCAGGGCAGGGCCATGAAGGAACATACAATCATCAGCACGGCCACCCAAAACAAATCCAGATGATAGCCAGCACCTTTCTGTGGAAGGAGACAGGCAAGGATTGGGATAGCATTCAGGCATAGCATCACAAACGTCTTAGAGCTGCAGGGGCTGCTCAGGGCTCTAGAATGATGACACAGGCCCACAAATTGTCTTGATCAGAAGTTGCCAGAGTATGACCTGATGACCTTTACAGGCTGACTTATCAGTGTAGCTGCTGCCCGCCCATAGGTATATATAACAGTGGTGAGTGACCTAACAAATAAAGGGGATAGGCAGACCTGTGAGCAATCTAAGAGGGGGTCAAAACTGCAAAAAGTCCATCAGTAATTAAATGATCACCATATACACAAAACATGCACATACACTCTTTGGGGGGAGGGGTGAAAACGTATGGTGTCCACTGACCGGCAAAATAACTCCATACAAAGGGTATTAGTCAAATCAATCAATAGGCTGAGAACAGCCGCAGAAAGTAATACAAACCGGCAAAAATTAGAGCGGGTACACACCACCCAAATAATATTACGTGTAAGTTCTACAATGTTTGTTCTTTCACTTGAATACACCCTTTTTTAAAAACAACCCCCCAAAACACATTGTCTAGTGCGATTTTTAATAGCTCAATACTGCTCTTATTCTATTAGATGATGTGTTGACAAGGCAATCACGTGCCCAAGACCTCTGTAGCGGTGTCTTAGAAAACAGAATGGTCCATTGACACCCCGGAAGATTGTTATGGCAACAGCAGAAAGAGCTGGGGCATGGAGCAACTCCCTAAAAAAAAAAGACAGCAGTTTATAAGGGGGAGTCAGCAGTTCTGCTACAGATCCCGTTACAGCAGGGCAAGTCCAGACACAGCGGAAGGCCAACAGTTCTAGGCTGCTTGTGCATATGGGTCTAGACATTATCACAGAGGGCACTTTTAACAAGTCTCAGTTAGTGTGAAGGCAAATGCAATGTGAAATGAGTATCTGCAGAAACAAAGCGACTAGTTACTTGATATCCATCATAGAAATGAAGGCCTCAAATCATCCTCCGGCTGGATACATGACATGCATTCTCTCTCTATGGACTGATTTACAAAGTACCCACAGCTCTCATTTGCGGATGCTCAGCACTTTTGAAAGGTCGTATTTCTTTAGGAAAGAGATAGTTATTCATAAAACGAATGCCATACATTCCTCCATATAATGCAAGCCCTTACTCTGTTCCAAGACCCTTTCATTTAACCTTAACAACTATGACAGTGTCTTTTTCTGCAAAGTCACCCCCAGCTAGCTTACATGACAGTCGGCACCATTACAAAACTTTAGAAATCCAAGATGCCCCTTCATAAAACCAGTCCACAGCTTAGCATTAGTTGTAAGAACCTATTGTGAAACATGTATGAGCATACTGACTTCAAGCCGACAGACAGCACACTTAAGTTACAAGGGTTATCAAAGCCAAACAGTGCCAAAAGTCAATGTTTACCAGCAGTTATCACACTGCTGTATCAGAGATCCTGTTCTAAGTGCAGGAAACCAGTGTGGGACTTTAGTGACTGCAGTGAGGGAACGATGACTTCATAAGTGAACAACCTCCAGATTCCTGCAGTGGTGTTGAGATTTTCAACGCAATCTAGGGGATCAATTCATTTGAAAAGGAAGGATGTTGTCTAAATTCTGTGGGCTGCTTAAAAAAATGTCACTGCGCTTTCTTCTAATAATGTGAGGGAACTGAACTTGAGAAAATCATCGGTACACATAGAGAGCAAGCAGGCTACAAAGGCTCTATTTGAACCCTATACACTCCTCCCCTCCCAGTTAAGAAAGGACCACAGATAAAACTCCAAATCACTAAACCATAATGGTAAGACAGAAAAGCAGGGAGCATTATTGAGATCAAATTTGATATTTTGAAGACAACTGGATGTTTTAAAATCTGTTACATTTGAGTTTTTAGCAGAAACAGTGGAATCAGACCTGCTTAGTGATATTCTAGACCTTTATACGGGTCAAGACCTTTATACGGTCCATTGTTTTCTGACTACATGTACCACTTTGGCTAACAGGCCAGCAAATTCAGTCTGCTGGTCCAGGTTGTGCTGCCAATATTGTAACAAGGCACTCCCATAAACACTCCCCCTGCCTTTCTCCTGCCAATTGACTGTGTGTACCAGGGCCATGGTTGCTGAAGAGAATGAATGCAAATCCATTCATTTTTTTGTCCCTGCCATTTAAGCAAAAACATGTTCCAATAACCATAACAAAGGAAGCAGAAAACAAATGTTTACATTAAACAACACGTTTGTCAAATGTTTATACAGAAAAAAATATACAGCATGCTGCTAGTAAAGCAGCCATCAGCTTGTAGAAACTGAACTAAATTTGGCGGGGAGTTGATGACTTTGCAGAGAGATGGAAGGAATTCTTCTCTTAACAGGTTGTTTTTTTTAAATACCTGCCCTTTAAGGTGAAAACCAGAAACAAACTTTAGCTCTTCAGAAATACTTCAATAAACCCTGGGGATGTGTCTCTAGCAGTAGCCAAAACAAGGGGGTCTCTGTCAAGAGGCAGGGTGATCACCCTAACTTTCCCTTTGATTGAGCAGGAGGATTTTAATAGGCTTCCAGGAGAGAGCATAACATTCCTAGTCATCATTTAAGTGGAAAACGCCAACTTCACAGGGAAATTTATATGAAACAGAAGAGCATAGATGGCCAATTCCGTTGAGATATTAATCCTGAGGAGGAGATGAGGACACCACCAATAAAGGATTACATTTCCTTTCCAAAAGTTTCAGAACAGAAGCCGAGTTAGTCTGTAACAGGAAAAACTTTTTTTAAAAAAAAAGTCTAGTAGCACTTTAAAGACTAACAAAACATGTAGATGGTATCATGAGCTTTTGTGGGCAAAACCCCACTTCTTCAGACGACCGGAGTGTTGGAAGTCCAGATCCAAGACTAAATAAGGAAAGGGGGGAGGGGAGAAGGGAAAAAAAATTGAAGGGGAGGAAGAAAAAAAGACAGTGAGTAGATAAGCTTCAGAGGGACAGCGGAGTGAGTCTAACAGGAAAAAACTTAAAACACAATTAGTCTAGTAAAAGCAGTGAGGAGTCCTGTGGCACCTTATAGACTAACTGAAGTGTAGGAGCATAAGCTTTCATGGGCAAAGACCCACTTCGTCAGATGCAAGTAGTCTAGTAGCGTCTCAAAGACTAAATAGTTAAAAGAGGCTGATAAGAACCATTAGTTAGCAGTTGGAAGGGAAGATGACCAACACCAGATTTTACACAGACATTAAGCACCATTAGCACCTTCACTGTTCGGTTGGTTGATAATGTGCGAGCCATCGGATATTGCGATTCAAACCATTAGTTTAAGAATTAAACTTGTGAATGAAGTTTCCAGTCATCCACTGCCTTCCCCAGGCTTACTCCTAATGGAGGTAAAATGGCAGTGAAACAGCACAAATGTAGGGCCGGTGAAGAGTGATACCATCTGAAATGCAGGCTCTGGAATAGAAGTCACCTGGCTGCATACAGTAAAGAAATAAGCCGCTGGCAAAAGTCACATGGACACCGATTCTACCATTTGATGGATCTTCCAGAAAGCTATGGCTTATGGCTGCTCCATAGTCACTTTCTTTTTTATTATGTTCTTCTAATTAAGATTAAAGAAATACATTAACCTTTAGGAGGCTATGTGCAGAAAAAAATAAAACTTTGATGGCCTGGAATAGGACAAACTGATGTTCACCTGGCAAAAGAAATAAGGAGATCTGTGTCTCAGTAGTCAGCCAGCATTTCTTGATCCAGATCCCAAACAAAGGTCATCTTAAAAAACAAATCAAAACCACCTGTCCCTTTCCTCTATTATTCTAACTCACTCTTTTAGGTCAGTTTCAGTTTTTAAATTGCCACGTGAAACAATGCCAATCATTACCATATAATGGTAATTATATTATTTATTAGGTTCACGCCTAAATAATGACCATAATATAACCCTCATTATGAATCAATCTTTGTTCCTACATTCCAGTCCTTTTAAAATGCCTTTTAAAATTCTACGAAATTCAACTCAGAGTAGTTGTATTCCAGAACTTTCATAAATGGGCATTCCAGAACTAATTAAAATATCTAATTAAAATCTCTTCAGGTTCTTTCCTTGTAGTCTACTGCACAGTAAAAAATCATCATCATCATCATCATCTGTCGCACTGGGGGTCTGCCTGTTGCCATTCGCAGTCTAACGTGGGTGTACCCCAATATCTCACCACCCCAAAGTTTCCAAGGCATAAATTCTGACCAACATGAGTTCACTCAGGTGTCATGGTTATGCAAACAAATCTTGTTTTGCACGTTGCTTAAAACTATTGATCAGTGATTTCCTTGTATGATAATCATGCTATTAAATATATTAACGGGGCTTGTCAAATCTACAGAAACTTTGCCCGTTTTGATAAGGCAAGAAAAACCCTGACCCTTAATGCGGTAATAAAAACAAAACTCTGAACGCAAAAATCAGCTCCCGCCTGAGGTTCCAGCTTTAAGGATAAGGTCTCAGCTCTATCCACTGGATTCTAGCTACTGCTCGGTTAATTCACATCACCTTTTATCCTGCCTATTCAGATCAAACGAGATCATTAGATACGGTCGAGGAGGACAGAGCCACCAACAGCTGTTACCCAAAATATAGTCCAGGATAGGGATGTGAGCGACTAGTTGACTAACCAACTATCCAATAAGCAAATGCGTATCGGATAATCAACAGGCTAGTCAGCTCATCACTTCCCCCCGCACCGCCCCCTTGCTGCCTCTAAGGGCACATCTACACAAAGTTTTTTTCAGAAGAGGTTATGCAAATTCTGTGGGAATTTGCATATGAAAAAAAATCACGTAAACCTTTTTTAAGGAAGAGTGGTTTTTCAAAAAGGGTTTGTTTGGTTTTTTTTTCCAAAAAACGGTGTCCAAACTACTTTCACTTTCGAAAGATATGCTTTCAAAAGTGAGATCAGAAGAAGATATGCAAATTCTGATGGAATTTGCATATCCTCTTTCGAAAAGTCTATGTAGTCTAGATATAGCCAGAAAGAGGCAGCAGGGGGAGGGGCGGGGGAAAGAGAAGGGGATGCTTGAAAACAACAGTGCCCGGGCTCCACATGGTGTTTCAAAGTGGCTGCCCTGCATGGAGCCCAGGGGTAGCTAGGGACTCCCCTGCTGACCCCAGGCTCCATGTGGTGCTGCCCCTTTGAAACGCCACGTGGAGCCTGACGCCGGGCTCCCCATGGCGTTTCTATGCAGCAGCACCGCATGGAGCCCGGGGTTGAAACGCCGTGGGAAGCATGGGGTTACAGGTGCCCGCTTGAGTCCCCCACTGGCCCCATGCTCCCCACAGCGCTTTTGCCTTTGAAGTGTAGCACTAGCCCCGAGGCTGTTGCCACACTTCAAAGGTGGAGGCTTATCGACTAATCCGCCAGTTAACCTAAATTTAACACCCCTAGTCCAGGACACAAAGCCATACTCCAGCTGTCCCTAAACCTCCAGTTGGCAGATGCTGGGACTGGATAACAGAGGATGGGTCACTCAGAAGTGCCCTGATCGATCCGTTCTGTCCGAAGTGTCTGGCACTGGCCACGGCCAGAGAGGACACTGAGCGAGACGGACCACTGATCTGACCCAGCATGGTCATTCTTACGTTCTTAAGCATTTTCTTTTGCTTCTCTAGCACATGGGTTCTGGGAAATCTCACCAGTCTAGCTGCCTGCTTGGAAAACCAGGGAGCAGCCAGTGAAAAAGCAACAGCCACGCCCCCACTGCTGTGACACATGCATTTGTGGACCCTTCCTTCCCCTTTTCTTCAAATCACAGCGTCATGGGGAACTATCAAGGCAAAAATGGATTTTGTCCTCAGGCCGAAAAACCTTTCCATGACAACAGGCCTTTTTCGACCCTTCACTGGACAAGGCATTGAAACCTCGGTTATTCCTCCACGCTCTTGGCCGAGCACCAAGCCAGTAGGGGATTTGAGGATGTTCAGTTGCTGGTGAGAGGAAATGCTTTTTACTACCTCTGGCCCACTCAGACCCAGCGCAGATGGAGTCTGGAATGCGCCTCATTTACTTTCCCTCTGCCACAGAGTCTATTGTAGATGTCTAGCCTGCTAAGTGCACTACTACAGACAGGCCTGTTCCAAGCAGTCACCTTTTATTAGCTAAAGAGGAATTTGGGAAAATTATCCCTTGATGAATCAGCCCCATTCACCTGCACCTCACTTGCTGACCAAGGGGACAGCAAACAGCAATTGGAAACAATAAGCAGTCTCCTCCAGAACTCTGGCCATTAAATCCAAAGAGAAATGCCTTTGCAACAGGGATGGCCAGCTTCCTGTGCCCTCCCCGTCCCCAACCTAAGCTGCAAAAGGGCATCCAGGCCGGGAAAACCATTTTTCTTCTCACTATAGTTCTCAGTCCCCCTCTGTGGTGCTGTGTCATCTTTTCCTTTCATGCAGAGGTGCAAAAACCAAGACGACAGGACTTGGAGGAGAGAATTTTTGGAGTGATGGTTTCACACAGGAAATCCAGTGACTCTTTTTCATTACTTGGGCATTTGTTTGGTTAACAGTCCATTTTCTGAAGGGAGAAGATCAGGGCATTTCACTCCCTTAGGGCTTGTAAAGCATCACACATAAAGTATCGGCTCACAATATATGGCTGCTCTAATTTGCAATGATTGAAGTGGCTCCCTATGGACTTCTTTTCGTGCCAAGCAGTAGGCAGAGAGTGCAGGTTGTTATGCCATGCACTGACAAGGCCTCTACTGCAACGGCAGAAGGAGCATGTGGCTCGTGTCCACTGTGCCCTCCATGAAGTCCCTACACTGTGACCTTGGTGATGGCCAAAGATCTGGTCCTCGGGGTTTATTCCATCCTCTCTCAGAAAGAGCATCTGCTGAAGTCAAAAGGAGTTGAGAGTAAAAACATCAGGTTCTGAGCATCCTTTGCTTTAACAACAAATGTCATTCAAGGAGTACTGCAACTTTCAGGCTCAAGTGATGACTTTGCTTTCCAATAATGATCACAGAATCATAGAACTCTAGAACTGGAAGGGACCTCGAGAGGTCATTGAGTCCAGTCCCCAGTCCCCTGATGTGCTAGGACAATATACATGCTGTTATGAAACACCAATCAGAGTGTTTCTAAGGGAGCAGGTGCCCATTCCCGCCACAGGCTCTCCAGCCATCTCTGTCTCACAGAGGATGCGCTCGCGCTTTCGGCGCTCAGTGCCAGACACTCACCTTGAGCTTGTGCTCTTTCCGGTTGACAATGACAGCCGTGATTTGCTGGTCCATGAAGATGAGAATAGTCACCAGGAGCGCGGGGATGGCTGCTGCGAGGTACACCCACCAGGGGTTCCCGCCGAACGGTGGGACAAACCAGCCTCTGTTGGGGCTGGTTGGCTTCAAGAGCAGAGAGAGGCATCATCAGAGTGGCAACGTATTATCGAGCACCCCAACAAAAGCACATTTATCCAGGCAACACAAGGACCCAAACATGGGCCTGTCAGGCTAACTAAAGGAAGTTACCAAGGACCTTGACAATTTGGGAGTAATTCTTCCCTCACAACAAACATCAGCCAAAATGTAAAACCTGGAGCTGGTTATTAGGGAGTCAGATTCTGCCAGCCTTGTTCCAGCTGAGGAGCAGCACTCTGAGTAGCCCTGCTGGTCCAGGTTGTGGAACTTCTCTCTCGCCCGGAGTATGTGCAAGCATCGACACCCAGTGAAACGCCATGGGCAAGTGACGGCTCATCGGTATGAATAAGTGCAAGACAGATGTGACCTACTGAACTCCTGGAGTAAGGTGCTACTGAGCATGAGCAAGGTTGGCAAGATCCAGCTCTGTGATAAGCATTTGTCATTGCATTTCAGAAGTCATTTCAGCCAATTGACACTGTGTTAATGGGGAGCCTATAAATTTGCACTACTAAATAAACTGCTTTCTAACTGGCTCAGCAATACCATCCCTTCTGGATAGCTTACTTTTGATTATTTGTGGGCTAGTGGCTAGACAGAAGGAAGACAGAAATGGCAAAGTGCGACCGAAGCCACAAAGTAAAATAAAGGTTGCGTGTTGAAAGGTCACAGTTACCTACCTTGAATTCACTTGGCACAATTAGTTTTGGTGTATCCACACCAACGAGGGCATCTATTCCACAGAAAATCAGAATGGACAAGATAATGGCAAAGTCACTGATAAGCTTCCTGGCCTGAAATAGAAGGTGACATCATCACAGTGGCTGGTACCAACCATTTAAATTCAATTCTTGTATCTGGTGGCAATTAAGGATAAACATTTCCCTTTCCATGGGGACAAATGGTGCACGTTACAATGGCTGATGAGATTTAAAAATATGCTTTGATACTTTATTACATTATCTGAAAGCCAAACGATTAGGCCTCAACAGACTTACAACCCCTTTCCCCCAGGAAAAATAACTTCTGTTGCAGAATATTCCCACACAAATTCTTCCGTGCAATCTTACAGATCATCTAATTCTACAGTGACCCACAATCCCCACTGGAACGGTTTCTGAAAAAGCTGTGACGTAACTCCATGGAGGAAAACGGGCCTCTTATTAAAATAAGAAGCATCTTAAGTAAGATGAGATGTGTCTGAAAGATGATGTGGTAGGAGGAGATTTTGATCCCAGCTCTCCAAATGAAATGCAAGGCAGTCACTGAGATTATTAAGGGTGTTTGTGCCCATGGTAAGACTTTTAGTAGTACACGGTTAGGATTATTCGTCAACTCTTAGGGTTATTTGTCAGCTGTCAATATTAGATGCAAGCCAGTGGCTGAGATGAAATAAGATGTTTGTAGGCCATAGCATGCCTTTGATAGCAGGTTTCCAGCACAGTTTGTCAGTTTGTGAACTGCAGAAAGATAATCCTTTAAAGGAAAAATGTGACAACGTCTACATTCTGCATGCCCGGACAAAATACAAGGAGCTCTGCTGTCTTTTATGCTGCATGTTAACTCCTGCTTCACGTTACCGGCCTAGTGCTGTACAGATCAATGCACAACCCAGCCCCTAGAGTTAGAATACAAGAACACAGTCCTGCTAGACTGGAGGAACCCAACTGTTACAGCTCGTGTTCATGGACTGCTGGGTAAAGAATAACCTCCAGCCGAGTAGAAATGGATTTTCCAAGACAGACTCAGTTTACACCTGCATTCACCCTCAGAAGGGATTCAATTAACCAACCGCAGGTTTTGTCTAGACATTTATCAGTCAGCATCTTGAGTTTCAGTGGCTTAGCAAGTTCTGTTACCCTAGGTGACCCCCTGGTCCTTTGGGCATATTGTAAAAGTGTCAAGCTGACAAGCCTGCATGTGCACAATAATTTAAAGTGCAGCTGCAGCCCTGATTCGGGAAAGCACTTAAGCACATGCTTAACTTTAAGCAGAGAAAAACTGAGTTCTCTCAATTGGGGCCTTAAGAGTTATAAAAATCATCACAGGGTTTCATTTCTACAGTGTGTTACTAATTTTCTGTATCAAGCGTGCTCTGTCTACAAGTGAAGGAACGTTCTAGGTGTCAGAGAGGAAAGGAAAGAGAGGAGCTCTCTCCTCCTTGAGTGCAGCGATGTTACAGATAGCACCCCCAGAGCATGTTAAAACCACCTTGGGGAAATGGTCTTGCAAACAGGTTGCACTGGACTGACTTGCCACCAGCATAGATGGCCATGTCTGTGTTTCCATGCATGTATCCAGAGAGGCATGGAAGAGACATCTTGTTCACTCTGTCTTGTATAACCATATTCAATTAATGGGATTTCAAGATCACTTCTAGTTTTGTCAACACCAAAGGTTCAAAATGAGGAGTCAGGTCTCCCTAATTAATGACATTTTAAACAAGGAAATATTGGGCTGTTTTTATTTGCCTTCTGGCATTTGATTTTTATAGGGCTCATGTTTTAAAGCTTTTCATTGCTACCATCAGGGCTAGAAACTTTTTTTTTTCCCAAATGAAAGCTGAGTTTCTTCTGTGATCATGTGTCTCAGGATAAAAAAAAAAACCCAAGAGATTTATCAACACTGACTCCTGAAACAATTTTTAACATTGCCCATTTTGCAAGGCACATTGAGTCTTTAGTAAGAAACCATAAAAGCAAGGAAGAATTCAAGATTTCACATCAGCAATGGAAACAGTCACCAAGGGGGTCACATGGGGAGGTCAAGAGCTAGGAACGCAAAAGACAGGCACAGATACCACTTCAGTATGGGTGTGGTGCTATATATTGTAGAGAATTGGGGGCAGACGCTCCACCTGTGTCGTCCGTTGTAACTCCCCCAAAATCAACGTGGGACTGAGAGTTTTCACCGGGCCTTGAAATTTAACTAACCAGAGCTTAGAGCTTTTATATACTATTGTGTCAACTTCTCAGCGTCCTTCCTCCCAGGCTCCCCAGATTCACATGGATAACAGATAAACCGAACTACATTCCAGCCAGGGTGGAATTTGTTTTCTTTTCATTAAAAATAATAAAAGTTCCATTTCAGTGCTGCAGGAGCATAAACTCCATAAATCCTATTGCAGTCAGGATGCCACAGGGGGGTTCTTTGAAGGGAAAAAATGTTGTTATGTACAGAAACCTGAAACGAATGCCCTTGTTTTTTTAAATTTTTGCTCTGATGAAATGAGGGTGAGACCTCGGAGGTGATGTGTGTGTGCTGTTGTGCAAACTGGGACCTCTAAAAGCCGGGGTGGGGAACCTTTTCTGGATGGGGAGGGGGCCACTGACCCACAGAGAAAACAGTCGGTGGCCCCGACTGAGAAGCGAAAAGACACTCCCCACATTCTCCTCACACACCAGAACATAGGGGGGCCCAGCTTGGTAGATTTTGTGTGTTCCAGCCCTGTGATGGGGCACCACGTGCATTTGCATGGTGAGGAAGCTTGATGTCTCTCGTCTACCAGCCCACACCGTACTTGAGCTAGAAGAGAGGACTTCAGTATGTAGGGCTGTTACACTGAGTGACACCTCACTCCTCAAATCATAGCACTGATTTCCACTAGAATTTTTCATGAAGTAAAGGTAGCAGAATCTGAGGAAAACAGTCTATTCCAAAGCTTGTTTAAGTTAATGCAAAGATTCCCATTAACCCTGGCTGCTCCTAGATGAGACCCTAAAAGGGTCAATAGAATTTATGCGGTGAAAGGCCTACCATAAGATATACAGGCTGATGGCTGATAAACATGATAAACATGGCTGATGTTACATTATTATTAAGACTGTAACTTTTTCACATTCTGAATTCTGAGCATTTGCAACTTGAAACCTTAACAGTATAAAATGTCTCTTTACATCTATCTTCTAGATCGATTTCTTTCTAGGGCATTAGGAGACACTGGACTTTTACTCAGCAAAGATAAACTTCTTGTACAAATAGGAAGTCTGTCTGCCTTGCTTAAGTTTTTACTGCACCTTTGTGATGCTTGATAAAGTGATTTGTGTGTGTATATTCAGGTATGGCACAAGGAGACTGTAGATCACCAGCCATAGAGTAAGTGAAAATGGCCTATAGCTATGACCAGCAGCTTTTTCTGCTTTGGTGAATTCTTAATGCCGGAAGCAAAAGTTTTGATGAGATTTGTACTGATCAGTTGTATCACAGTGCCCTGAAAAGTGCTATATCACAGACCTGAAAAGTGAGCAATTCTGTGACTTGCCTAAATTCAGTACTTCAACAAATAGGATCTGGATTCAATACCCCTCCCCCCTTTCTCACACACACATATTGGTGTTTGTTCATCCATGCTGTAGCTATTGAAAAAGGAGGAGTTGCAAACAAGAGTACAGCACCTCCGATACGTGCTCTGGAGGAGTAAGGAAATTCCCCCAGGTGATGAACATGGGTACTTACAGTGGTTGGGAAATAACGGCTGGTTTTGAATTTCTTCAGGGCCATCGAGCAGGTGTAGGTACCAAAAAAGAGGATAAAAGACATGAGGGTGATGTCAGGGACGTATTGGCAGTTGTTGCCCTCAAGGTAGCCTCCATATTTCCAGCACTCCTTCTTTGTCAGAGACGACCAGTCGATAGTATTATTGTACTAAAGAGCAAAGAGAATATCCCATTAAGCTCTGCTCTATTAACTCTGCTCAATGCTAAAACAGCAACTGGAACAGTGAGCCATGGTGGATCCTAGGATGAGAATCTGTGCGGCTTAAGAGTAGCGGGTGAACATAAACTGGGCAGCAGAGCAGGGGCATGCGAATAAGGGAGCAACACAAATTCTGCGCCATATAATATGGAAGGCATTTGACAAACTTAATATCTGCATTACAGTCTCGGTTATATCTCGCCACATAGCTCCATGCAGAAACAGAAAGCAAAGCTTTATTCTGCCCTTAGATTTTTAAATTGAAAATACAGTTCTGCAATACCAACCAGCACCACAAACCTCTTCGGTGAGAATATTGTTTCATCCCTGTCCTCTCCAGGGGGTGAGGAAAACTGCCTCAAGTCTCACCGGCAGGGTCAACTCAGCCTGTAAGTCACATTCGTGGCCTGCCTGACCAAGCTGGAAACCACATGCGGAGTTCTCACGTACATGTGGAACTACTGGCCCAAGATCCAAATGCGACGCTCAGATTTCCATTTTCTCTAGTTCCCCTCCCTGCCTGTATCACCTAACCAAAACATACTCCTAGAGAAGGCACAGCTCACCGGCCTTCTAGCAGAAGAGACCCCAAGCCCTTCTTCAAAGTGGGCCCCAACACTGCCAGATGTGCTTTGATGGCAGGACACTTCCCCTTTAGCCAGCTCGACAGTAGCACCTCAGACCTCCCTCCCCCCCACCCCCCAACTGAGGTCTGAGCATTGCATCAGCTTCACAAAATTCTCCTATTCTATTGGTCTGGGAAGAAGTATGTTGTGCTGCTCCAAAAGGAATAGGCCCTGATTAATTCAGGGTAATGTGAACAAGATGCTGGCCTTTAGACTCCTGGCCATATGTTGAAAAGAAAGCTATAATTCAGTTCTGGGGTCCCTCCATATATTCCGTAGATGCCCTCAGTTACCCCAGTATGCACAAAATGGCCAGGGAGCACCAGACTCTGGCCACAAAATGCACATCTCTGTAATCATATGAAACTGCGAAGGACAGAACAGCAAAATAATTCCCTCATCACACTTGTATTGGGCTTCATCAAGCAGTCTAAGCCTTCTATTTCTCGTGACTCATTTTAATGCTTCTGCATCTAGAACTGTTCAGAAAACCGTGATAGAAATGTAGCCGTGTTAGTCTGGTGTAGCTGAAACAAAAGACAGGATTATGTAGCACTTTAAAGACTAACAAGATGGTTTATTAGGTGATGCACTTTCGTGGGCCAGACCCACTTCCACAGATCAAATAGTGGAATATACGGTCATGCCAATTTTCTTCCACTATTTGATCTGAAGAAGTGGGTCTGACCCACGAAAGCTCATCACCTAATAAACCATCTCGTTAGTCTTTAAAGTGCTACATAGTCCTGTTTCTTGTTCAGAAAACTGTCGCTGTCCACAATAAAGCAGCCACCTCCTTTGAGAAAATGTGAGGTATGATTTCACTGACTTTAGTTTAATTAACATTGACAAATTAAATGCAAAAATAAATTGGCCTAAATCTGGCGCACAAAAAAATCTATGGCATTCTTTCCCAAGTGGAGCTAACCAATACTTGATGGAATAAGCTGTCCTCTTTTATACACAGCTGTGAGAGTCCCTGATGTTCAGCTCTGCTGTACCACACAACGACCCTGGCAGGAGGGATTTAGTGGCAATATACAAAACACAATTTGACTTTCCGTTTTCGGACCATTAGAAAAGCACAGGAGGGAATGTTTCTGTACTGAATCTTAAGGCATTCCCTGCCGCAGTGTTTTAAAGCACCAGTTCACCCGGCACTCAGTACAACTCCTACTAAAAACAAATATTTCCACTGACTTCTATGGGATTTGAAATTATAGTAGCACTGGAAAACATTCTCCATGTGAGCAAGTCTTTATTGTATACACAGGGACTCAAATATTAAAAAACAGATAATATTGTAATTCCCAAAAAGGAACACAATTTGTACTTAAAATGACAGTATAGACTCCTGATTTTCTTGTGTGGTTAGGTCAGAAAAATCAACAGTTTTCCAAAACTCCGAGATTATGGAGTTCTCTTCTCCTCTCCCTATATGTGCATAATTCCCAGCAAGGTTTATGCCGTGTGAAGGGAAGAATAAATATGAATGCAAAAGGAATGAAGAATCAAAAATGTGCATGTAAACTATCAAAGAAAACTTGTGATAAACAGGTGGGGGCAGTTTAAAACAGACACGGTCTACCCAAAATACAGCTACACCTATCCCCAAGCCTACTGTCAATTCTGGGGAGAGTTTACAGTCACAATTTCCTATTTGAAAAACACATTTTCTGCCTTAGCGCTGTGTACAAAATCCAAATGGAGGAAACAGACTATAACAGAAGCAGTGAAATTAGCACTATACAAACTGTTGTCAAATGCACAGACTCCACAAACAAGCAAAAAGAGAAGACCATTCATCTTTTTAGTTGCAGGAATCCTAGATGTTGTTTATTACTACAGTCGACTGCAATAGGAGATACAACATTATGATATTCCCTTACACAACCACACAAGGAATCAGGGAAAAAAATCAGTTGCTTAGAAGAGGGATGCTGAACTAGAAGACAGACAAAATTGTACCAGAAACCTTGCAGATATTTTAAATGTAGGTAATTTAAGGCCCGCCAGACATGCCGTTGGAGGATATATACATGTAACCATAGCATGTGTCTATTAGTAGCACATACACCTATACACATGCATCAGTGTACATCAGGCATGCAACCAAACACTGACCACATAGCAGATTATGTTGGAAGGCCGCTGGTATTAAATTGCAGCTTCCTCAGCAAATTTCACCAATCCAGAAAGTTGTAGTTGAACTGAGGTGTGATTTTGCTGACAATGATGGCGGCGTGGGGGAGGGGAAGACCCCCGGTCAATTATCCATCTGACAGGGTGCTGCCACCTTTGCTTTCTCAGCACTGCTTTTCTCTGCACTGCTTTTCTCTGAAGCACAAAAGAAGCAAAAAAATCTGTTCCCCACCAACAGGGTTTCTCCCTATCTGCCTGGACTGCTAGCTTCAAGCCTGGAACAGTGGGGTGGGGAGGGTGAATATTTACCGAGCAGGAATATCAAGACAGAAGTAAGATCAGCTGCCTGCCTCCCGCATGCTGATTTTGAAGGTGCCACAGGACTCCTCACTGTGTGCAGACACACACTACCATGGCCACCTCTCTGAGACTATTCCTGGAGCATTAAACCATGAGATCTTGGACTCCAGTGACTTCATGAATGAACAACTATGGAGCACGAACTGAATGTTTCAAAGAAAATGAGGATTCAGGTCAGAGATGCACCAGAAAAAAAAAAGGTTTACTCTCGAGCCTTTTCCCCATTACCACCAAACACACACCCAGCGTCAGAAGCATTTGTCATTAAAAAGAATCACTCCAGAGGCAGCGCATTTGAAACTGACAGGTACAATGAAGGACCCTGTACTCTGAAGTACCACAGCCCGTTCATAGATTTAAAATAGATGTGACTTGGCTGCATTGCCTTTCCCTAAAGAATCACAATGTTTTATTAGGGAACAAAACCTATTACAAATTTTCCACAGAATTAAAGAGTACAAAGTGGAAATTCTGAACCTCCAAGGGAAAGGAAAAAGCTGTTGGTACTAGATATTGGTTGCACACTGTTTGATAAGTTATGGAACTTCTTAAATAAGTTAGTCTATTCAATAATTACTATGTTAGCCTTTGATAGGTTTTTTTTCCCCCTTACAAGTCACGTTTAGTAACTTCTGTTTGTGTCACTATACTGCTACCTTGTACTCTTCGTTTTGGTTTTTTTGACTTGCACTGCTACTGTTTTTAAGATAACTTTATACTTTATCCACATTGAATATATTTGATTTAATGCAAAAATGCATTAATATGCTAAACAGAGATGAAGAGAAAAGTTGGGGGTGATGGTAGATGTATATTTTCATTCTAATTTTGCTTTAGTATGCGATCACAGGCATTGAGGTTTCACTGAAGGGAAAAAACACTTATTTTTAAAATTATAAAGTCAACCTGTAGGTGATCAGGTTTCTCTTTTTGGGAAGAGGAGATTAGGTCCATGCTGTGACCAGTTCTGTTCAATATCTTCATCAACTATTTACATATTGGCATAGAAAATACGCTTATTAAGTTTGCAGATGATACCAAGCTTAGAGGGGTTGCAAGTGCTTTGGAGGATAGGGTCATAATTCAAAATGATCTGGACAAACTGGACAAATGATCTGAGGTAAATAGGATGAAGTTTAATAAGGACAAATGCAAAGTACTCCACTTAGGAAGGAACAATCCGTGTCACACATACAGAATGGGAAGTGACTGTCTAGGAAGGAGTACAGCAGAAAGGGATCAAGGGGTCATAGTGGAACACAAGCTAAATATGAGTCAACATTGTGACACTGTGGCAAAAAAAGCAAAGGTGATTCTAGGAGGCATTAACAGGAGTGTTGTGAACAAGACACGAGAAGTCATTCTTCTGCTCTACTTTTCACTGATTAGGCCTCAGTTGGAGGACTGTGTCTAGTTCTGGGCACCATATTTCAAGAAAGATGTGGACAAATTGGAGAAGGGCCAGAGAAGAGCAACAAAAATGATGAAGGGTCTAGAAAACATGAGCTATGAGGGAAGGCTAAAGGAATTGGGCTTGTTTAGTTTGGAAAAGAGAAGACAGGGAGGCTATGATAGCCATTTTCAAGTATCTAAAAGGGTGACGGGGATTGTTCTCCTTGGCCTCTGAGGATAGGACAAGAAAAAATTACCTTAAGGTGCATCAAGGGAGGTTTAGGTTGGACATTAGGAAAACTTCTTAACTGTCAGGGTGGTTAAACACTGGAATAAGTTGCCTAGGGAAGTTGTGGAATCTCCGTCACTGGAGATATTTAAGAGCAGGTTAGACAGACACCAGTCAGGGATGATCTAGACGGTACTGGGTCCTGCTGTGGGGGCAGGAGACTGGACTTGATGACCTCTCGAGGTCCCTTCCAGTTCTAGTGTCCTATGACTCTATGATTACAGGGGGTTCCCTTTCCAGCTATGAGATTAGACTGCAAGCCCCAAGAGTGCAAGACACGGGCCAGCAAAATGACATTTCA